TACCATAGGTTTGTATGGTTTCGACTATACGCGTTTAGGCATCCAGACATGTATACCTATCCTATGTGACCCGTTGAGTTATTTTCACAAAAATTGAATGCAGTTGTTTGGTTTAGAACGACATAGAAATATGTTAATGCCAAGCAATTATGGTTGATATCGCTCGACAGAGGTTATTGACTAATTTTGGAAAATCGGGTCTAACCACATAGTTTGGTAATTTGCATCCACGCATAATCGGCTTGAAAAGGGTTAAGCGAAATCATAAATTCCAACATCTTTTAAAATCAAACTTTTCCACTTTTTAAGTATTATTTAAGTATTTTAAATCAAAATCGAGTTTTCACCTTTTTATAGTTTTTAAAATCGAACTTTTAAATGTGTGTATCTTTTTCGTTAATTTAAACAAATACACTCGTAATTGAAAACAACACTCTCTGAGGGATCGATTGGACTTAAAAGGTCCATTATACTACTTGATCGCGACCCGTACACTTGCGGCGTGCCATTTAATACCGATCAGGGGCTAAGAGAGCGACTGAGGTGGAGAGCTCAATGGCCTCTAAGGATAGGAAGATCCTTGACCTCAAGACCGAGGTTGAGGCTTTGTTGAAAGAGCGTGATGACGTAAAGAGGGTGGTTGCGAAGGCCCGGGATGACCTCGGTGTTGCAAAGGACAAGGTCGAGGATGCGAGGCTCAAACTTATGCAAAAGACAAAAGATTTTGAGAGCAAACTCGCGGAGGTTAGGGAGAAGGCCTGGGAGGAGTTTGAAACCTCCGAGGATTGTGACAAAATCAAGGGCGAGTATGCGTCGGGGGCGTACTTCCACACCCTCAGGGAGGCCCGGGCCTTCCTACATGTGAAATTACCCGATGTCACCTCGGATTATCTGAAGACTGTGCCTTTTATCGCTGATACTTTGGAGCTCTTTGGATCGGAGGAGTAGGTGGGGATGACGACAAGGAAGGCCTTGATGATGACGTGCAGATTGACATCCACAACTTTGACCCTCCCCTTGGTCATATAGGATAGTGTCCCCACTCCGATCTCTTGTTTTGTAATTTTTTAGAAACTAGTTTTTTGCCCGATGAAACATTTTGCTATTGAACGAACATTGCCTTTGTATAAAACTGTCAATTTGTCATGGGATCTCGAGCACTGCTCGAGGTCAACACACATGTCGAGCACATTAAATTTAAGAAGATATAATCTCGCAAGTGATGTTCTCGGGATAACATTATCGAGCAATATTTTTAGTCTAAGAGTTGCCTAGTATTATGATTGAGGACTCTTGTTTGTATCCGTCTCGAGGACTATTAAGTTTCGGGCACTATACTGGTGTATCCTTCGTTGAGGTCTTGGGAGACATGTACCCACGCCGCAAGGAATGGGACACCTACAGTCACCATTAACCTGAGCAATGGTACCACTCCTTGAGGACAATCGTTATTGTACGTCTCGAGCACAATACTCGTGTGTTTCGTTTCAAAGATTTGGGAGCCATGTGGCTGACCACATCTCAAGGGCATGTAGGGTCGCGCTGCGTACTATATCTTGACGACATGGAATTAGATAATGTCTCGAGGACTCCAGTGCTCGAGGACATAGAGTCGAACCGTATCTCGAGGACTTCAGTGAAACACATCTCGAGGACGTGGATTCAAACCATATCTCGAGGACACCAAGTCAGACCACATCTCGAGGACTTCAGTGAAAAACCTCTCGAGGACATGGATTCAAACCATATCTCGAGGAATTCGAGGATGATAACTCTCGAGCCTTGTCAACCGAAGCCGTTTGTAGATCTAGGTGTTGATGTGTTCGGGCATATCGGGTCAGTCGGGATTTTCTTTTAGTGGTATTTTATGAATCAAGGCTTCTTGTGGACAGGGCAATGCTTTGTATGCTTGCGTGGGGTAAGACTTTGAGGTGCTTATGCAGGGCAAGGCTTTGAGTGCTTACGCGAGGCAAAGCCGCGCAAGGCTTTGAGGTGCTTACTCGGGGCAAAGCTTTGAGTGCTTGCGTGGGGCAAGGCTTTGAGGCATAGTGATCATATCTTCAGAATTAATTTTATTTGTAATATATTTTGAAAATAAACTTGGCATGCAGGCCTTATTAATGATAAAAAGCTGACTTGGCACGTGGTCCTTATTAATGCTAAAAATTGACTTGGCATGTAGGCTTATTTCTAAAACATGGCGGAGAGAATCACTTGTGATATACCTTTAAGTTTTCGACGTTCCACGGTCTTGGGAGTGGTCTTCCCGAAGTATCCTTTAAACTGTATGCACCTCCTGGGAGCTGTCGTATGACTTCAAAGGGCCCTTTCCAGATTGGTCCGAGTTTTCCCGAAGCATGACCAGCGGCTTCTGCTCTTCTCAACACCAAATCTCCAGCTCTGAATCTTCGCGATCTAACCTTTTTATTGAAGTACTTTGTTGTTCTGTCTTGGTAAGAGACCGTTCTTAAGGTTGCTTGATCACGAACTTCCAAGAGGTCGAGATGTTCAATGGTGCACCCTGCTACTTCGGGACCAAGTCTTCTTTGGTTGGGTAACTTGATTTCAATGGGAATGGTTGCTTCAATTCCAAAAGCTAACATGAAGGGGGTCTCCCTGGTTGCGGACCTGTGGGATGTTCTATACGTTCAAAGTATGGAAGGCAATTCGTCGGACCAATAATCTCTTGCATCTCCAATCGTTATTCGGAGGTCTTGCAATATAATCTGATTGGTGACCTCAGCTAGACCATTACTTTGAGGATGAGAGACTGACGTCAGACGGTGGTTAAACCCTAGGTTGGAACATAAATCCTTGAATTGTGCGTTGTCAAGCTGCCGGCCGTTATCAATTATGAGGATCTTCGGTGTCCCGAACCTGCATATGATGGACCTCCAAATGAAAGCTCTTATCTTAGGCTCTGAGATCGTTGCTAAGGGCTCGGCCTCCACCCACTTTGTAAAGTACTCGACTGCTACAAATGCAAACTTCAATTGTCCCCTAGTTATCGGAAACGAACTGAGGATGTCAATCCCCCATTGCTTGAACGGGGTCGACCAACTGATGTTGATGAGGTCCTCTGTGGGAGAGTGGATAACATTGCCAAACCTCTGGCACTTGTCACACTTCTTCACATATTCTACGACATACTTCTTCATGGTAGGCCAGTAATATCCGTACTTTATGAGTTTAAAGGTGCACGAGCCGAGCTCCTTGATGGTTCCCGCATACTCCTTCATGAACTTCCTCTAGGGCTTAGGAGGATTCCGAAGGCTTAAGGCACCTAAGGTACGAAAGGGTGAGGCTTCTGCGAAATAAGACCCCATTAATAATGCAATACCTTGGAGCTTTTGACCGGATGCTCCTTGCTGCTCGAGGATCTTCTGGAAGATTGTCATTTGTTATGAAATATACAATTGGGTCAATCCATGACGGCTCATGATCAATGTCCAAGACCTCAATGGTTGGATTGATGCTAGGCTCGGTCACAAATCTGACATGTACTCTCCTGTCAAGTCCATCTACTCCCATGAACACCAGCCTTGATAAGGCATCTGCCTTGCAGTTGTCAGCCCGAGCAATCTTCACAATTTCACAACTCTTCAATTTTCGTCCGAGATCATGAACTTTTAAGCAATATAAGCCCATTTTTTCGTCTTTCTTTTCAAATGTTCCGTCAATCTGCCCAACCACCAGTTGTGAATCATTAAAAATTTTGATATTTTCAAGTTCGAGATTAATGGCAAGTTCCATGGCTATGATGACAGCCTCATATTCCGCCTCATTGTTGGTTGCCTCGAATTTGAACCTGAGTGCACATTGAATGTCCATGAGCATGTCCAACTCGTTATGATGACCCCTGCGCCCGAGCCCAAGGAGTTTAATGCTCCATCTACGAAAAATTTCCAAACATCTATGGTAGTGCTCTTGCTCTCATCTGGCTCCCGAGGCTTTGGGGTGAGTTCTGCAATGAAATCTGCTAATGCTTAGGCTTTGATGGACGGACAGGGTCTGAACTCTATGTCAAACTCTCCAAGTTCAATTGCCCACTTTAGTAACCTGCCTGAGACGTCTGGCTTTTGAAGGATGTGTTACAGAGGCTGATTAGTGAGCATCACAATGGGATGAGACTGAAAATATTGCCGAAGTTTTCGTGCTGCCACTATTAGGGTAAGGCAAGCTGCCCGGGACATGAACCTATTTAGGGCTGCTATCCTACCTGTCAATTTTTGGACATCTTTCTTAGTCCTGGGCGATTCCATTGCTGTCAAGGCCTGTCGGGGTTTGCTTCTTATCCCTCGGTGAGTGATCATGAAGCCCAAAAATTTTCCCGAAGCTATACCGAACAGACACTTCTCTGAGTTGAGCTTCATCCGATATTTTCGTAGGGTGGCGAACATCTCCTCTAGGTTGGATATGTGCTGCTCTACCTTCTTACTCTTTACCACCATGTCGTCAACACAGGCCTCGATGTTCTTCCTTATCAAATTAGCGAAGACTTTGTTGATGAGCCTCTGATATGTTGCCCCAACATTTTTCAACTCAAATGACATCACCCTATAATAGTATATGGTAGAATTAGCCATGAATGAAGTCTTCTCTTGGTCTTTCTAGGCCATGAGGATTTGATGATACCCTAAGAATGCATCTAAAATGCTGTACAACTTATGTCCGGATGTGCTATCCACAAAATTGTCAATCCTGGATAGCGGTAGCTGTCTTTAGGGCACACCTTATTGAGATCTGTAAAGTCGATGCAGACCCTCCATTTACCACTGGCCTTCTTCACAAGAACAACATTAGCGAGCCAATCGGGGTATTGAACTTCCCTTATGAACCTTGCTCTCACCAGTTTGCCGACCTCTTCTTGAATGACCACATGTCTTTCTGGTGCAAACTGCCTCTTCCTTTGCTTAACAGGTTTAATGTTGAGTTTATGGACTGTTACTTCAGGGTCTATCCCTACCATATCTTCGACCTTTCATGCGAAAACATCAATATTACGGGACAGACAATTGATAACTTCCTCCCGGAGGCTGGCCTTGAGGTCCCGACCGATTGTTACCATATTTTTCATGCTCGATCTCGACCATTCCCAATTCCTCAATCGGGGCAAGTCTACTCCTTGGCTCGAGCTCGAGCTCGAGGTTTGAAAGTTGCATGACGCCTGTACTTAGTCCTCGGATGCTAGTAACATAGCATTGTTTGGCAGCTGATCGGTCTCCTCGAATTACTCCGATGCCATGACTTGTTGGGAACTTTATGGCTAGGTGGAAAGTTGATACAATGGCTTGGATCTTGTTCTGTAAGGGTCTTCCCAGGATGACGTTGTAAGCCATAGGAGTGTTAACCACTTGGAAATGTGTGATCTCTGTCACTTGTGCATTGTCAGAACCTAACGTCAGCGGAAGCTCGACGATGCCTTTCGCGATAATGACTCTACCACCAAATCCTTGTAGCGGAGTTTTTATTGCTTTGAGCTGTTTGGGAGAGATCCCCATTTTAGCGAAAGCCTCCTGCGAGAGTATATTTGCTACAATCCCATTATCAACCAGAATCCTCTTTAATTCAAAGTTAGCCACAATTGCAGAGACGACCAAGGCATCGTCATGAGGATATGATACTCCTTCCAAATCTCTTGCTACAAAAATAATGTCTTTGACTTTATTATGGGATTCCTTTGAGGTATGAGTATGTTGGCGGGCAAATTGCTTTCGCCCACTACTTGTGTCTGTTCCAGATGCTATGCCTCCAATGATAATATTAATGGTCCCAGCAGTGGGTTGAGCACTGCTTCCGGCTCCAGGCTCTTTCCGATTGTCATCGTCATTACTCGGGTGTTTATCATTCCCAATGTAATTCCTTAAGAGCCCTCTTTTAATGAGGGCTTCAATTTCCCACTGCAAGGCTTGACAATCCTCTGTGGTATGCCCATGATATCGGTGAAATTCACAATACTTGCTCCTTTCTCTTGTCTCAGGGGGCGACTTCATTCTTGAAGGCCACTTTAACTCTTTCATATCTTTGATCTCCATTAAGATATTTACCTTGGAGGTGTTCAACCGGGTGAGAGTCCCTGGTGGCCCTTCATTCTTGTGCTTGTCCCGAGGATGCTCTGGTCGGGAAACGGGATCATGTTGCTTCTTGTTCTCAGCCTTTTCATGGGAAGTACCAGATTTCATTGGATTCAGCGTTTCCTCCATATTAATATTTTTCAACTCGGGTGAGGAGCTCGGTCACTGTTTGTGGTGGGTCCTTCGATAAGGACATCTTGAAGGCTTCACACCTTATGGCGTATGTGAGGGCGGAGACAGCCACCTTAATGTGAAAGTCAGTTATTTGAAGTTTTTCCTTATTAAACATCGTCATAAATCCTCGTAGAGTTTCATTTGGTCCTTTGCGAAATTGCATAAGAGAGGCTGCAGTCTTTCTGATTTGCTTGCTATTTGCAAAGAAGGTTGAGAACTTATCAGTCAAATCTGAGAATGAGGCTATGGAGTTAGGCTCCAATGTCGAGAACCAATCTCTAGCAGCATTAGTCAGCATTTGCGGGAAAGCTTTGCACATAACTTGATCCGGCGCCATTTGCAAGTTCATGACATCGATATATACATTGAGATGGTTGATTGGGTCGGTCGTCCCATCATACTCTTTAATGCGAGGATATTTGAATCTGTCGGGCAGGGGATACAACAATATCTCCGGCGAGAATGGGGTGTTAGGGGTAAAACTTGTTGGCCCCCGAGCATTTCGTTGCAGGTCGGCTGTAATTCCTTCTTGAATGATACGGGCAATCTCTCTGGAATCTATAGCAACTGATCTCGAGCCCGAGGCCATGTTACAAATACCCGAGGTCCCTACTTCGCCAGTTGCGAGGTTTGGTGCTCGGGCTCGAGCATCATTCATAAAACCACCATGCTCTGCCTGCACCGGTGACGGATGCAAATTTCTTTGACTTAATAGCTGCGTTAGCGTGGCTACCGCTAACGAAGCCCTTCGAAGGCTTCAGTTGTGACGATCACCGGCTAGGGTGCAGGCACTCCTGACGACTTTTCTTAAGGAGTCGGTTGATCTTCAGCAGGATGAGGGATGGGGGTGGATGAGCTTGCGGGAGGAAGACTTGATCGCGTGTTAACCATGGCTTCTGGTAGCGTTTCCCACAGACGGCGCTAATGATACTACCAAAAATCGTACTTATTGATTTTCTGAGCTTGATGACTTTGGATGAGCACGATCGTAGTCTTCCGGTACTTGAAATAAAGGCAACGAGGTGTGTCCTCGTCGCCCCTCCGATGCTTAAATCAGGAAGGGAATTATGTACGTGAGGCTATAAATGAGAGAATAATGAAAACGCATCTGAATAATGTCCAAGGTTGGTATTTGTAGGGGTAGGTAGTACATCCCTAATAGAATTGGAATCGGGTGGATGTTCTTATCCGGTAGAATTGTTTGTGAGGAATGTCCTACTCGTAATGGAATTGTTTGACTAGTGGCGCTACAGTTGATATAGAGTCCTTGGACGTTTAGGCGTCTGTTCGTTGGACATATACATCTCGAAGATCTGTTAATGAACAATGACCCGAGGACATATTTTCGAGGACAATAGGGAGTGAGTTTTCATATTCGTATGAGCACAGTCCTTGAGATACAATCCTCGAGGACTAAAAATATCTTGAGGACATTTTGGCAGAAAAGTGAGGCGGAGCATGTAGGGAGTCCTCGAGGAAAAAGGTCCTCGGGTATGCAATATTGGTATTATCACTATCAATTTAGTTTGAACTTGTAAATTACTGTTGTATGGTATCTTAATTACCTGTTATTTTAGTTGATTTAGAGTAAAATTTCTAATTCTTGAATTTCTGCATTTTGAATGACATTGCATTTGTATGCGTCATTTTCAGATAAGGTGCTTTAACCGGGTTGGAGGAGATGTGCGAGACTTCTTCAAAATATCTTGGAGATATTGCGTGACCATATAGCTGCCGTGTAATTTAAATTCATGCAGGATCTTTTGTAAAAGATGATAATAAACTTAGCATATCATATTTGTTTGTTACCATGAATCTTGTATGTTTTCGTGGGTTAATGAGGTAATGTATAGTCGATTTTTGGATTCTCTTCACTTCTGATTGATCTAACATGACTCGTGTGCTTTACACTTCATTCTCTGTTTTCCTGACTCATCTTTCTGGCTGATTTATTTAAACTTGAGATTAGAATTTAAATTGAAGAGCTAATGAGTCTACAAGCTTCGTGCTGAGGAATAAAAATGAGTTTGAATTGGTTGTTGTACAAAGAAAGCATTTCATGAAATCCAGGATGCCATAACCCTACGATCGGATCTATAAAAAACTTACGGGGGTGTCCCCATTTCAGAGTTTAATAGATTTCTTAATATTTATAAATTCTCATGGATTGTATGAAATTTCATAGAATTTAATAGATTTCATAAGATTTGAATGGATTTCTATTTTGTAGATTTTAAAAGATTTTCATGGATTTTATAGATTCTGGGTAAAATTTATAAATATGCTTAACATAAGCCACAAATTTTTACTTCTTCTTTAACGACTCATTCTTACACATATGCATGTTAATAAATCATAGAAAATGATCGAATCCTTGTTCAATTGTTTGTTAAACATTGAGTATTATAACAGAGCTTCAATAAAAAAATACACCCACTATTCAACAAAATGCGAGAGTGGGAGAGGATAAAAATATGTAGTGTTAAATAATCAAAGTCGTAATCAATATGAATTAGTTCAAAAGGCCACAACCTTGTGAGATACAAACACACAGATGTACACATACATGACCACAAGGCAATTAATTTCATACCCCCAGAATTCTCATTGACCATACAGACACAAAAGAAAAAATTGTGGGATACCATCCTCACATGTCTTGGCTAGGATTTGCAGGTATATATAGAAAACACACAGCTCTTCTCAAGAAAAAGGAATAGGGTACAGAACTTGAAAAACGAAGTTGTTCCAGATGCATACTAGAAATCGTAAATTACCATGATGATTTCCAGCACATCTATAAAATAGTAAACAATATATAGCTTCAATAAGAAAAAATAAGTTCAATAAAAAATCACACCAAATATTCGACAAAAAATAGTAATCTTTCATAAATTATCATCAATTGAAAAGTTCTCATACACGATCTTTTCACAGTAGAGAAATGTGAGATAGAAAGAAGAAAAAAAAATGGAAAAAAAAAAAAAGATAGTCGCCGAAAAAGTGAGCGGTCATCGGAACGGTTTTTGGGAGGTCGCCGGAATATTCGTCGGAGAGGTTACCAAAATCGTCTTGTTCAAAATGGGGGGGGGTGGGTGGGGGGGAAGAGAGAGAGAGGGGGCAGCAAATATGGAGAGATGTGAGAAATGTTGTGAAATTTTTAGGTTTGGGTTAAAATTGTTACTGATTTTTTGTACTTATATTTTTACCTTGAAATCCTTTAAAATCTATCAAAATCTATATACTTAATGAAATATTTTAAAATCAACTAGTTATTGAGGACATCTAAATTTCAAAACTACCTATTAAAATCTATGTTGAGGACACCTAAATTTATAAGTATTTTTAAAAATCTAGATTGGGGACACCTATATTTTAATAAATTATATTTAAATCTGAATTGAGGATAATTCAATTTATATGGAGTTTTAAAATTCATCAAACTCTAGATTGAGGACACCCCCCTTAATATTTTGATGTTCATGCCATCTGCTAAAGGGGCTTGTTCTCGAATACTTGCAAGTGAATTAGATCTGGATGTGCTTATCTTTAGAGATCCTGTGATGCGGAGGGGGGTTTATAAAATCGAGGGCCTTCCACATTTGTTGTATTTTATGAGAAGATTTTATCTTTTTTTCTTATTTAATACTTATGATCATTTCTGCACCAAACATTCACAAAAGTGTATTACAAGGAAGATGACAAGTTGTACATTACTCGAGGGTTGTAAATCCAACAAAAATAAAGAAGAATAGAGTACATAAACAAGTCAACTTTTAGCATGTTGGTATTAGTAATGCTGCTATAGACCCTCTCTTTTTATCAGTTGCTGCTCCTAATGTTCCTCCACAGGCATAAACGCCAGGCCAGCCTCCTCTATATTTGTAGGAATTGATTCAAATAATTAACCAAAAATTGAAAAATGAAAATGTGTGTAAAAGTGGAAAATGAAAAGTTGTGACCACGTGTCAACTTCGACCAAATATTCAGACTTGATCTGATGGTCAAATTACAAAAGTAAATAGATCAACTTATTCTACTCGTCGAGTAAATTATCGTGGTATGTTTGGAATCTCGAAACCAATTCCGGATGAATGAGAAATTGTGGACCAAATTTGGAAGAAATCGAGTGTCGTAATTTTTTGAAAGGATGCAGATTTTGTCAAAGTGTTGCAACTTTTCTAAATGATGCATGTTTTGACCCACACTACTTCATTTACACCCTTTCTACATCTATAAATAGGATCATATGGATATGATTTTGGGTACACCAATTGCATTGAACATTCATTCTCCTCTTACAATTCTCTCCTTTCTAATTCCATAGCATTTTCATGCATTTCCTTTGTAGAGGGAAATTTTTTTCAAAAGTTCGTTGGTTTTTTGTAGTTTGAAGTGGTGCTACCATAAGTTGTGAATCCATTGTATTTTGAGAGACAAGTGTCATTCACCGCGAACAACGTAGCAGAGCGATTTGTCTTCAGGAAAGAGATAGCGTCTCACCTTAAAAAATTATTCTCTATTTCTACTCTTTCTTAATCCTTGTTTTGCGTAATCGTTATACCGAAATTTTGTCCAAATTTTCATTCATATAAATTGTGTTTTGATCACGCTCTTACGGGTTAAAACTCATCAAACAAATATATCAAAAACCAAACATTACATAGCCCTTTTTATAAGTCGTCTCCAACAAATTTAAGACAAATTTTTGTATTTTTGTGGTTGGTTGTGGACAACCATACTATTCCTCCATCGATATTATCATCATTTTGTTGAACTTCTGTTTGTGTAACAAAAATGACTACCATTAGAAATTCGTCAAGTCAAAATAGTTCCAATAATGTGGTACCACCCGTGGCCATATTATTGCATAATACTACTATCCCACATGGGAAAAAGTCGGAAAAATTTGCAGGAGTAGACTTTAAGAGGTGGCAACAAAAGATATTGTTTTA